CTTTGTGGAAGATTTATAGGCTGGAAGTCTCACCCAACAGACTCATTCCACAAAACAACATTGAAATTAAACCACCAAAATCAAAAAACAGATATTCAGACATTGTTTGAATTTTTTTTTGGCTTTGGGTGATAGAAGCAGGCAAAATTCCAGAAAATGAAAGAAAATGTAATGGGTTGCAACCCCCAATTTCTTATTAAAACTTTCAATCAATCAACACTGAAACAGATATGTTATCTGCCATGTATCTGCCATGTATCACTCCATGTATCTGAGCCCCAATAAAAAAAACCATCTGACCACTGCGCTTTTATTTGCAAGGTGATGCAACAAATTTGGTTTTTGGCCATGCAGCTTTGCAGAATTCTCCATGATACACACAGTGTATTGTATCTGTTACAGCATTGAATCAATTATCAAACTCTATGTTGAAAACATCTGGAATTCCTTTCTTGATCTCCCACATCAGAGAAATAAGTTTTTAATCCAAAGAAAACTTGTGTTTCCTCAAGCATTTAAGTTGATCAAAATTATCCCAGATTGCTTACATTATGCCGGTTCACGTCTGAAGTTCAAGGCAACTTTTAGCACTTTTATGGATAAAATTTTATGAATTTTGTCAAATCTCATGAATCATCAGGTTTGGAGGAATTTGAGATTTTGGACAAACTTGGAAAATTTTAATGATAAATGCCATAAAACTTGCTCCAAAGTTCAGACATGAACCGTCCTATTAGGAGACAAAGCACCAATCCTTCATTCCAGCGGTGGGCCGCTATGCTACACTACACTTTTGGCCCAAAAAGCATAGCGTAGTGGCGCTTTTTTCACCAAAAAGTGTAGTGTTAGCGTTTTTTTGGCGGATTTTTGCTACGCTATGCTGCGCTACAGGGCCAAAAAACCGCTAACATGTGTGTTAGCGTAGCGTAGTGGGCCCTTTTTTGGGGCCTATTTGCGTAGTGTTAGTGCAGATGTGGCAGAATTCCGCTACGCTACGCTAAAGTTTAGCGGAATTCCGCTACACTAACACTACGGTTAGTGTAACTGGCCCACGGTTGTTCATTCCAAATGGTAAATTTCATGAAAAGTGAAGTCCTTAGATGCAAAATATGTTTACAGCTGGCTTATAAGCTATGAAGAGAGAAATCTTAGAATGAAATCATGCAGGCATGATGTTCTTGTTAACAGACCAAATTTGAATCTAGAGTATGATTCCACATATATGCAGTTGATCCAAAAAAGTTTGTCAAACTATGGGTGTTTTGTCTACAATTATTGCGTCTTTAGGAGTTTCATGCCCTTTTCTTGCTTCCAAAGATTTTATTAATGACTTCTTGTGAGTATACTTTCACACCAAAATCCAACATAAGCGGCACCAAATTTCTCTATTTGAAATTTAAGGAGAACCAGATTTATCTTTTTATTGCACAATTATGTGTATTCCTAAACATGGTAGCTTTGCCAAACTTCCCTTGCCCAATAATCAGCTCTGTGAATATCATTTGGTTTTACAGGTTAATCGGAGACAGGCTCTATCTTACAAGAGTCCGGGTTCAATTGTATTGTAACTTGTGTGAATTCAGCTTGATTTGGTAACATCTCTAGTGGTTCGGTCCAACTGTCCAATTCCTTCTTCAAAGTGATCTTAAAAGAGATATACAAGAGAAAATAAGATGTTCCTTCTCCAATGGGGTCCCATGTCCTTGAACACTACTCCTGATTGCCTGCATCGGACATGGAGCATGATTTATGTGGGTGCCTCAACATGCGTCAGATCAACATACCAGCAAAAGAAAAGAAACAAGGACAAATGACTGTAGTCACAGTCACATCACACTCAGCTGTAGTTCCATTTCAAACTACTTACATTCCTCTAGTGTTGGCCAAATCACTGATTTCACCGCACCATCATCCCCATGAATATGAATGGACCTAAATGATCTTTGAAAGGATGTGCCTTACGAGCTGAGGTATGTTGGGTGAAATTTCATTTCCTTTGGCAGGAAATTGAAGGTATGTTTGCGCTCTTACAATGTTGAGAAATAATCGCTGGCCAATTAATTCCTGCGTACACTCAAAAGTCTCGACGATAGATTGTAGATACTGCCAGCCTTGTTTGCAGACCCGAGTGCCTACCGATCGGTCGATGCTTGCCAGACTGAAGCCAACATAGTAGGACATTGGCCATCCCACACCAAACAATCCTCCATCACGAGAACAAATGTTGGTTGGGATGAGGGAGTTTGATGGCAGGGCACTGTCTCGTCAATGCTGATTAGAATGAGCTGATTGCTTTAGTATACCCGGTAACGAAGAAATGCCCTAACAGGCCGGGTTTTGATAGATTTTGATGGTACAATGATCAATTAGCGACTGATGAGACTTAACATTGGTAGGCTCTAATTAGGCAAGGTAGCGTTCATCTGATTTCGGTAGCATCAATAACCTGTTAGGGCCCGAAGTAGTACAACAAAGGAGACTGAAAAAAAGAGCGAACCCTCTGGCTCAGCTGAAGGTTAAACATTGAGTAGGCTGCAGCAAGTAGGAGGCGACAAACAAATAAACTCACCTTGTTTTCAGTCTAAGGAAAGAAAATGTTGCGCCAGGCCACTTTAGCCTTGGTCGACTGAGTGATGCCTTTGATGACATGAGATTGTTTCCGCACTTGATCGAGGGTATAAGAAGAGGACTTCTGCCAGCGTTTTCGAACCTTTCCCCCCATCAGCTCCAGTTCCCTCCATCCCGAAAAACCCTCCCACCTCTTCCCTCCATCCCAACTTCCTAGACGGTCTTTCTGCCCCCCCCCTTTCCCATTCCCTGAATCTGATCCTGAACATTGGGCATAAACAGTCGAGTTGGCCTCATATATAAATGCTAGCTGAAACCCCACAGGATCCCATTCACTCTCTCCTCTTTGGCAGCTTGATATCGTCTTTCGCTCGTTTTGTTCAGAGCGCCCCTTCCACCATAGCTCTGCGTCGCTTTTCCTAGTCGACTTCACTTATCCATCACGTGTCATCTAGCTTCCTAGACCGTCTTTCTGCTGGATTCCACTCTCCAGACTCCCATCCCCATTCCCATCCCCATTCCTTGAATCTGATCCTGAAAATTGGGCATAAACAGTCGAGTTGGCCTCATATATAAATGCTAGCTGAGAACCCACAGGATCCCATCCACTCTTCCCTCTTTGTCGCCTTCTGCTCGTCCTCTCCAGCACGATCCTTCCACCATTCCTCAACGTTGCTTTCCCTAGTCAACAAGACTTCACTTATCCACTATGTGGGAAGAACTTCGATGGGCGTGATTCATGATTCCAGCAGTTTCCTTTTGGCAGTGGAGATGGACCGCTATCTTACCATCATCATCCCCCACCCTTCTCCTGGACCCCATCAAGCATATCTGATGACTCGGTCATGATTTTATTGGTTGACCATGGCATATCATGTCCATGTGGTCGGTTCAAGTGATGGCTTGCTCTTGAAGCACCGCAATTCTTTGACTCATCAACCGTTCATTCTCCTCCTCTCAATCCATCAACATCAATCAGATCGATTATGTTCTCTATTCAAGTACTCAACATCCATCCTTTCTTCCATTGGTTTCGAGATCTCTTTATCCCTTTATCCGATGGAAGCAGGTCTCGAAAAGGTTTCAATTTGATCATCGCGATCAACGGGATGAATATATCTCGCAAAGCTATGAAGAGCTTGTTTGATCAGTGTTCGATGGTGATTGATAAATGATAGGGCAGATATCCCACTCGTGCTGGATTGTTCCGCTTGGCATTTTTCCCCTTCATGATACTTCGATTCACTCGCTTTCCATCCCAGGCTTGGACCAGCCTATTAGGTCTTCACTCGCCATCTGTTTCATTGCACCTGTTTACTTTTAAGATTCCCTCGAAGATATAGCAACTGCACTTAGAGGGCGCAACACGGGTTCAATCTTCTGCTATTATCATCCATTGGACGCGTCGGGTGACATATGTAAGCCGCGATTCTCTGTTCTTTCATTGATAGCAAGAACTAAAGTCTTGCTCGCGTTTGGAAGCACTCTATCATAGGTCAATATCCTGCCGAAGATGCGGCGTTCTCACTTGGGCCTATCCAGCAAAGTGTTCACAAACGTTGGGCTTCTTGACTTCTGCATCTTGCGATTGAAGCAAGGCTGGACCAGCAGTTCATCCCAGCCACCGACTGCCAATATTTTGACTGGCACTTGGACACGATCATGAATCTCAAGGCTATCTTGACAGCATACAGCAATCCCACCTGAAGTGCCCACAGATGACTCAGATGACACATGTGAGCTATAACATTTCGTTCTTCTATTATCAGAATCAAACTAAGTTCGCATTTTACTCGGACGCGCTAACAGCGATAACTCTTTTGAGCATCGAAGTCATGCGTGATAACTCAAGAACCAACGTCATTATGCCGGACACACAAACCTATCCGCTCAGTCACTCAAGACAAGCACACAGTTTTATTTCTTCGGTCATCTCTGACTGCATCCACTACATACCGAAAGGACTATCGAGCCAATCTTGAAGGTTCGTAGTTTCTCTGTCCCACATCGGCAGATGTGCTTCTGGCTGATTGATGTATTTCTTATCGGAAAGTCACTCAGGGCTATCTTGGCATTCCCTTTGCCTTTCCCCGGTCCACATACCCTCCTCATTTCAGGATGCTGTCGATAGGAGCTAACTTGCCAACCATGGTTTAGCCTGAGGCAAGGTTTTCTTTCCTATCGGCACGCGTGCTTTCTATATTGGGCATCCAGTATATTCATGCGTTACATCAAGATTCATTGATACACAAGTCATTTGGTAAGATATCCCGCTCAGTTGAACTCGATAGCTTCAGAAACACCCCTAACTGACCCCGACAAGCAGTAATATCAAGGGCGGATTTACTCGCAGTCACAAGAAGATGGCCAGGCGCAGGCGTTTCTTGAGGGCGTTTGGTCAGATCATCGCGTAGACCTTGCACAAGAAGATGGCCAGGTGCAGGCGTTTCTTGATGGGGTTGGTTATAAGGACTTATAGGATCACCTCTCAGAGGTTTCACAAGAAGATGGCCAGGTGCAGGCGTTTCTTGATGACGTTGGTTAGGACTCGTTTCATGGGCACTGGGTCCGATACACGACCACCTCCTATTCCATGGACAACCCGCCCGAAGAGTCTTGAACACGATGACTGGTAGTCTCCGATACCCTCCAACCGTCTATCACACATTCCATCCATGTGATCACTCTTTTCCCGATCGGCAGCAACTGGAGCGATACGACGTGCTGAAGACGACGAAGCATGCATCGAAGGTGCTTGGCGAATATCAATGCCTTGTGCTCTGAAATGCCGACCGAACCGACAGCCAACGCGACTTTCTTTCTTCGATATGTCGATTTTGGATTCCGTTTCCTCTTTCTTAAGAATCATCTTTGTTAATTTGTTTAAATATCTATAAATAGTCTGGCTCCGCTCTCGGACAGCCCTCCATAATCATCCGATCGGGATATCGCACTATTGACTGGGGAATGTGGTTGGAAACAATCACACGAACCGGGCTCCAGAGTGTCGATTACCGTGAATGGGTGAAGAATAAAACAAAGTTCCTTCATTGCGAACACATTTTTGAGCTTTAATCATTTTCAATTTTGCAAATATGTAGTTTGTTCCTCAAAGTTTTTGACCCAAGCTCGCCACATGTTGTCTGTTGTAGAAAAATACTATCTGTTGCAAGGAACGAAGATTAATCGTCTTGACTGTGTTGCATGGATGTGCGGTTATATCCCAGTTAGCCTTTCTTCCTCCTCGACAAACCTGTCCAATCTTCATGTGCGTGGCTCATAACTTCGAGCTATTCCAAAAGATTTCTCGTTTGGAAGATAAATTTCAGATATCTACTGTTACTCTTAAGAGTCCTACTGGACGGGACAACATAACCCAGGGAGTTAAGCCTTCCATGACGATGAGAACATATAAATATGTTGGGTTGGATAAGGGCCAGTACAAAGCCAATGTAAAAGCATGCGAGATTCCTCCATGTTTTTTATGGCAAAAGTCAGGATGACCCTAGTCTTCAAGCCACACCCTGTACTTCTAGACAGATATTGATCTGGTCCTTCGTAAAAATAGCTTCTTTGGACCCTGTAGGATGGGCTGAGCAGAGACCAAATTGTGCCAATATGGGTTGTAAGTCGATGTCGAGGTCAAAGGGATGACGCAGTTTGATCGATGAAATATTTTTACGCAAGTGGAATTCGATGCTCGTGGACGTCGGTGGCGATGGACCCCGAGGATCGGCTGTCCTTTTTCGGTTAGGGGGCTTAGCTAAGCAGGCTCACAGCCAATCAGCTTGCGGCCGATTCCAATCGAGAAAACCATCCAAGAACAGCAACAACAGCAACAACAACAACAACCACAACAAACAAAACACAGAACGAGAAGAGGAAACCAAAGAATGCTACGCTCCAAGGCCACCTCACTACTCTCAAGAGTCAAACCAAGCCCAACTCCACTCGCCAATCGCACCTTCTCAAGCAGCTCATCACGCTCCCGGATCATCTCCACCCAACCCGTCAAGGCTTCCGAGACAAGCGCAAAGTTCTCCAACGGCAAGTACCCGATCATCGACCACGAGTACGATGCCATCGTCGTCGGAGCCGGTGGTGCCGGGCTCAGGGCTGCCTTCGGACTCGCCGAGGCCGGCCTCAACACGGCTTGTATCACCAAACTCTTCCCAACCCGGTCCCACACAGTGGCCGCCCAGGGTGGGGTCAACGCTGCACTAGGAAACATGACAGAGGTCAGAGAACGGCTCCCACCCTCCCTCTCTCATCAGACTCAACATTAACATTCCTTCTCCTACCTTCCCAAAAAAAACCATCACTTCTAGGATGATTGGCGTTGGCATATGTACGACACCGTCAAGGGCTCTGACTGGCTTGGAGACCAGGACGCGATCCATTACATGTGCAAGGAAGCTCCACAGGCGGTAATCGAACTCGAACATTTCGGGGTGCCCTTCTCGCGGACCAAGGAGGGAAAGATCTACCAACGAGCCTTCGGAGGACAATCCTTGAAGTACGGCAAGGGAGGACAAGCCTACCGATGTGCCGCAGCCGCCGACCGAACCGGCCATGCAATCCTGCACACCCTCTACGGCCAATCTCTGCGTCACAACACCAACTTCTTTGTCGAATTTTTCGCACTCGACTTGATCATGGATGATGCTGGTAACTGCGTCGGTGTGACTGCGTATAACCAAGAGGATGGCACCCTCCACCGATTCAGAGCACACCAGACCGTCCTGGCTACCGGAGGCTACGGTCGGGCTTACTTCTCTTGTACTAGTGCTCACACCTGCTCGGGAGACGGTAACGCCATGGTTACCCGGGCTGGATTGCCCTTACAAGATCTCGAATTTGTTCAATTCCATCCCACCGGAATTTATGGGGCTGGATGTCTGATCACCGAAGGATCTCGAGGAGAGGGTGGATACTTGTTGAACTCACAGGGAGAGAGATTCATGGTAAGTGGTTTGCTTGGGTGGTTGCGACTTGATCTTTTTCTTTTCTTCTCGAAACAAGTCTCTAATACATCTATCTACATGTGGCTCAAACTTAGGAACGATATGCACCCACAGCTAAAGACTTGGCTTCTCGAGACGTGGTCTCACGATCGATGACGATCGAGATCAGAGAAGGCAGAGGTGTCGGACCCGACAAGGATCACTGCTACCTTCAACTCTCTCATCTCCCCCCAGAAGTCCTCCACGAGCGTCTCCCCGGAATCTCTGAAACTGCTGCTATCTTTGCTGGTGTCGATGTTACCAAGGAACCAGTAAGCAAGCTCTTCCTCATCTCTTAACAGCTGCTGTTTCGGATGTAACATACTAATAAAACCACTTCATTCAAATTTTTAGATTCCAGTCTTACCAACCGTTAGTATGATTTCTTGTTTCTGTTTTTTGAACCAATAAACTAATTAAGTCGTCTATGGACTGGGTTAGGTGCACTACAACATGGGAGGAATTCCGACAAACTACCACGGCCAGGTTTTAACTCAAGACCCTAAGACGGGAGCGGACAAGATTGTACCGGGACTGTATGCAGCGGGAGAGGCGGCATGTGTGTCTGTTCACGGCGCGAACAGACTAGGAGCCAACTCGCTGTTGGACATCGTAGTCTTCGGGCGTGCATGTGCGAAGCACATCTCAGCGAACATGGAACCAGGCAAGCCTCACAAGGCGATGTCCGAGGACGCAGGGATGAAGTCGATAGAGGACCTCGACAAGCTCAGGAACGCCAGCGGACCCAAGCCAACCGCGCAGATCCGTAACGACATGCAAAGAGTCATGCAGAACGACGCCGCCGTCTTCCGCACCCAATCTAGCTTGGAAGAGGGTGTCCAGAAGATCCACAAGGTTGTCGACTCCTTCAAGGACGTCGGAGTAACTGATCGAAGTATGATTTGGAACACGTACGTCAAAGCCCATTCTAGCTCACCGATAAGCAGACCTTTCACTATCAAGGCGTCTTTTTTGATCCATTTGTTCCCTTTTGTTAGTGATTTGGTCGAGACCTTAGAGCTCCGAAACTTGTTGACATGTGCAGCCCAGACGATGTCTTCAGCTGAAGCCCGAAAAGAGTCACGAGGCGCGCATGCACGCGAGGATTTCCCGGAACGAGAAGACGACAGCTGGATGAAACACACTGTTTAGTCTTCTTCCCTTTTTATCCAATATATAATATAGATGTGGCTAGGAATGTTTTAGAAGGTGGACAGTCGCTCATGCCCTCTTTCTCTTCTGTTGTTTAGTTGTCGTGGCATAACCCTGAGTCTGGTGAGCCCGTCAAATTGACTTACCGGGACGTCATCAGCTCTACCTTGGACGAGAATGAATGCAAGAGGTTTGTCTCTCTCCTCTCCCCTCCCGAATCTATCCCTGCAATCAATCACCTTGAATTGCTTTTTTGTTGACATTCCTCCTGTTGCTCTACCACTGCTTTCTATTACAGTGTTCCTCCGTTCAAACGTACTTACTAAGTCTGAAGCTCGCAAAAGTATAAAATAATTACCTTCATCACTACTCAACTTTTTTTTTCTTCTTTCTTTCTTCTAAGAAGGCTTTTTTTTTGTTTTCTCACATTCTTTGTTTTTGTTACAATATATGATCATCACAAGTTTGTCAGAACAGGCAATTATGGTTACTTCTTCTTTTTAAGGGTGAAGAAGAAGAAGAAGAAAAAACACTTTTGATGAAGATTTATGTAACTACTTGATCAGAGAATCATTCACATTTTTGATTTGTATACAAGAAAACATGACAAAAAACATCAGTTTACGTTCGCATCAATTTAGAGAAAACAAAATCAGTACTTATACATACATCATCCATCCTCAATCATCCGTCCATCCATTTGATTTTTTTAGAAATGTGTTACAAACTTTTTTGACTCAAGCAATATGATCCTCCTGTCCATTCCTCATTGAATTTTTCCCCCTTCAAGGTTCAGCTTGAAATTGAACTGGGCAAGACTGGTGAATGTTGTAACCACTTTATGAGGTTAGTATTAATGGTTTGGTGAGAAAGAGGGGGGGATAGAAGGTAGTGAAGCTTCCTGAGCATGTGTTCTCAATTTATGCTCATAGAGAAGCAGAGACTCAAGACTCAAGGGCCGTTCCGGCACTCTTTTAACATACATTGGAAGAAGGTATGTTACTCCGGTATACTGCGCGAAAAAAAGAGGCCACCGGTGCCTGCGGCGGAGGGCTTGGCGGCTCCACGGGCTTGAGTGCAAGTTGTCTCGGCGTGGTCGGGTGGTGGTGATGGCCAAATCCCAATGAGAAGGTGGTTCTGCTCGATTGTTTCCCGTTCTTCAGTCAATCGACCCCATCATCAACACCTTCATCATCAACATCCTCGACCATACAGCACAAACAAAACTCAGTTCTTCAGAGTCATGTCCACCGAGGCCAATCCACCTCCCCCGGCACCTCAAACCAAACAAAATAATCCGGCAAAGACTAAAAAACCTAAGCCTGAGAACCTCGATGAAAGCATGAACGCATTAGAGGTTAGACTTGATTGATTTTTTTTTTTTTTTTGAATCTTTCATCTCTGTATTTTCAATTTATAACCAAATTGAAAAATTGTTTCATTATCACATTTGTCTTGTTTTATTTTTTAGATCAGTCCACGTCCACCTTACTTCGATCATCGGCTGGAAATTTGGGACCGTTTGAAGGCGAAACAGGATGAAGAATTAAAATCGAAACCCCGCGAGAAGATCATGGTCCAACTGCCGCAAGGAGATCCCAAGGAGGCCGTTAGTTGGCAAACCACGCCGCTCGAAATCGCGCGCTCTCTCAGCAAAAGCTTGGCCGAGCGGATCGTGATTGCTGAGGTCCACACAATTTCCCCCCTTTCTCTCTATCATTCAGAAGACAAAAAATCAATCCAGTTACAAATGAAAAATTGATTTCAATGTGAATTACAGGTCACTTTACCAGGAGTAGCCAAGCCGATCCTGTGGGATTTGGAAAGGCCTCTCGAGTCGAGCTGTTCCCTGCGTCTCCTAGATTTCGAGACCGACGAGGGCAAACGGGTCTTCTGGCACTCATCCGCCCATGTCTTGGGCGAAGCCGCCGAAAAACACTACGGCTGTCATCTCTGCATAGGCCCGCCTACCGACGAAGGCTTCTTCTATGAGATGGGAATGGGTTTGAGTGGCGAGAGGTCTGTCTGTTTGTCTTCTTCTTTGTTTTTGTTAATTCGAGTCTCATCCTTCATGAAAAAGGCAAGGCACTACCCTGCTCGTCAGATGTCATCTAGACGGCTTTTCTTTTCTGATTGATCTGATCGGGTTTTTTTTTTTTTAAAAAATGTTTATAGGGCTATTCAAGCGACGGACTACCCATCATTACAAAAACTGGCTGAAATGGCGATCAAGGAGAAGCAACCTTTCGAGCGCTTAGTGGTCTCGAAACCAGACCTATTAGAAATGTTTGCGGTATGTATTCTCACCCATATTTCATCCCCTTTCAAATTGACCTATCACATAAAACCCACCCAAATTGATTATGATTATTTTTCTTGCTTTCTTATTCAAAAGTACAACAAATACAAGACATATTTGATCAACTCGAAAATCCCCGATGGAAGCTCGACTACCGTCTATCGTTGCGGACCAATGATCGATTTATGTGTCGGGCCACATATCCCTAACACTGGTCAAATCAAAGCGTTCTCCGTCCTAAAGGTAAATCCAACAGTTATTTTTTTTTGTGTGACCCTTTTTTTTATAGTTAAGATATGTGCTAACCTTTTTGCATCGCATAACGAAAAGAACTCAGCATCTTATTTCTTGGGCGATTCCGCAAACGATTCATTGCAACGAATCTACGGGATTTCGTTCCCCGATAAGAAGGCGATGGCTGAGTACAAAAAGTTTTTGGAGGAAGCTGCAAAGCGAGATCACCGCAAAATTGGAAAAGTATGTCCTCCCCCCCTACTTGTCTTGACAACCCCTCCTATGATACCATTCTCTTAAATTAGTTCCACTCCGTTGTGTAGGATCAAGACTTGTTTTTCTTCCATGAATTGAGTCCAGGCAGTTGTTTCTGGCTGCCTCATGGAACTCGAATCTACAATACCTTGGTAGAATTCTTCAAAGTAAGCACCAGCTCATCTAGCAGACAAAATATGCTGTTACCTAGTTTTTTTGCTTGGTTCTGATTTTATAATAAAAAAAAAATTCTTTAGTCTGAATATCGCAAGAGAGGGTACGATGAAGTGATCTCCCCAAACATGTACAATGCCAAGCTATGGCAAACGTCGGGCCATTGGGAGAACTGTAAGTCCGCCACCATCTGAACATACCGTCTTCGATGATATATGAGAAGATCAGGATCCGGGGCAACCGTGAATTGACTAGAATGTGGATGGCTTACAAAACAGACGCGGATAGCATGTTCAAGCTGGACATCGAAAAGGAAACGTTCGGACTCAAGCCTATGAACTGCCCCGGCCATTGTCTAATCTTCGGTTCCCGCGATCGGTCGTACCGAGAATTGCCGATCAGAATGGCCGATTTTGGGGTCTTGCATCGTAACGAAGCCAGTGGGGCTCTCAGCGGCTTGACAAGGGTCCGGCGTTTCTGCCAAGATGATGCTCATCATTTCTGTACCACCGAGCAGGTCAGTTCCCTGTCTCTCTCTGCTCCTGTTTCGTCCTGATCATCACTCGCTAGTGGATTTTTTTTTGAAAGACAAATTAATGTTTTTTTGGACACTAAATCGGTGGTAGATCGACTCGGAGATGGCTGGAATCTTCGATCTGTTGAAGACGGTTTATGGGATGCTGGGATTCACATATAAGCTCAAGCTATCCACACGGCCTGACAATTACATTGGAGACCTTGAAGTCTGGAATCTAGCAGAAAAGGTATGTTACACAACATGTTATATCCCGTTTGATATGAAACCAACAAATTCATGTCGATCAAATATGGCTGCAATTTGTGTAGCGGCTGGGGCAAGCACTCGATGAATTTGTTGGCCCTGGAGAATGGGACGTTGATCCTGGAGACGGAGCGTTTTATGGGCCCAAGGTAGGTATTATTTTGTCGCCAAGCTTGCTTCTCGATTCTTGGCTTTGTTTGATGGCTAGACTGACAGAGTAAACCAACAATTTTTACAGATCGATATTACGATTTCGGATGCTCTCAAGCGTAGACACCAATGTGCGACGATCCAGCTAGACTTCCAATTACCTGAGCGCTTTAAACTGCAGTATCGGACCGATCAAGGCGGGCAAGGTGCCGAAGCCGGGGCCGAAGAACGTAAACGTCCGGTGATGATCCATCGTGCCATCATGGGCAGTGTGGAACGATTCACCGCGATCTTGACAGAACATTTTGCTGGAAAATGGTGTGTTAATGATGAGCTTTGATTTGACCTTATAGTGAGGATCATCACTTTTTTTTCAAGGGCTAATGTGGCTGTGCTTCGGATAGGCCATTCTGGCTGTCGCCTCGTCAAGTAATGGTCATCCCCGTTGCTGCTCCCCATAAAGCTTACGCTCAAGAGGTCGCTCAGAAGCTGTGGGATGCTGGCTTGTATGCCGATGCCGATATGTCCGATGCCACATTACCCAAAAAAATCCGGAACGGGGAAGTTGCCTCTTACAATTTCATCCTAGGTCCGTGCTGTTCTTTCATTCTTCCCTCATTTTCTTTTTTTTTTCGACAGCTCAGGACATCCAGATTGTCTCAGAAAAAGAGCCCTGTTGATTGACTTTTCTCTTCTTTTTTTTTTCTCTCTTGCATGTCCAATACCAAACAAACTTTGATTCGAAAATTCGGTATAAAAAAAACGCAGTTGTGGGAAGTGAGGAACTGGAAAGTCGATCGGTGAATGTGAGGAGTGCTGATGATGTAGGCCAGAAAGGGAAAGCAGAGGCCTTGCCGTTTGAGGCGGCACTAGAGAAACTACTGTCATTGAAGAACGAAAGACGGATCGAGAATCGATTGCTCTGATGTTTTCCTCATTATTCATATCTCTATCTACAGTTTCAAGTAGAAATCCAGTAGCAGTATTTACATACCTAGTAACCCGGCCATGATACTTAAATACGTTCCATGGCCTTGTGAGATCTCCATAGAAAAAGTAACCCATCCTCAGTAGGACTCGAATCTTAGATTTTCTCATCTCATTCTGGTGCCCTCATTTATACCCCACATACTGCACAGGTTGCGTGTTACAGTGGTAGCTGTGGCTTGAGGAGTTTGTCAAAAGAAAGTTGAATGCATCCTTTGGTTTCTTTCTTGCCTTTGGGGCATGTAAATTGCTACTTCAAAATATTGGTGCCCTGTGTTTTTCCAGAAAACTACATTCATAACCTTATAATGGCCAGTCACGCGCAAGCTCTTGGAAGGTATTCCAATCTAACCCATAGAACTGTTGCGTGTGGGTTCATCACATGTTTATTTCTCTCATGTTATCAGTTTCCACTGTAAGCTCCCTTACATTTGCCCGAAGAATGCAGAGTGCTACATAATATCAAGAAACATCCTTGTTTTTTTACACTTATCAAGCATTGCTCCTCTTCAAGATAAGTTGAGCTGCCTTGCTCCATAAAGACGCTGATTGCACTGCAGATCACTCCGGTGTCTTACTGCTTCCGAGTTCTGTACTAGAGCTGCCACATACGGTGCAACTTGACCTTGTCCATACTTAAATCCTGGCAAAACGCATTCTGGATTGCGACGACATCGTTTGTGTTTCTTTGCTCTCGGAGAACCGGCCGATGGCGGGAAGCTTGCCGGCTTGACTACAAGTACAACAGGGTGCCAAGAGAGTTAAACGGACCTGAGCCCTTCCCTTCCGAACCGCTCCAACATCCGAGCCTCACTTGCACAGAGGCTAGAGCACGCCAAATGCTGCCACATGATCCCAAGCTCGGATTTGAAATGGCCCTTTTGAAAGAATCTAATGAACAGTGTGAATGGCAATTTACCTTGCCTCAACTTATAACTTAAAACCAACCGCACCGCTTGACCTTGGGAAAGCGTTTCAGCCTGTTTCAGCCCATGTCGCGCTGAATGTGTCAAGAGTCGGGACTCGGCCTGACGCGAGAAACCAAGATAGCTCAATATGTTAACCTTCTAGTTACTACGGGTGGCTGGTCCATCGCCGACCTTCGCCGATGCAGCACCATACTTCGATCATACATGTTTTCTCTGACATAGCAACAAGGGGAGGAGGACGTTTGCTCTGGCTGTATTCCATCCTAATCCTTGATATACGCAACAAGTGACGGGTCTACGTTTCAGGTGAGTGACTTAAAAGTTACCAAAACCCCTCAAGCCGCCTCGATCAAAGCTCACCTTCTCTTGTCTTCATCTCCTCGAGTTCCCGGCTCATCCAGTGCTCGAAGCAGTCTAGTCAAGCTTGGTGTTCCCTAGCTGTCCTTCGAGAAAGCCTTGTCACATTTGTTTTGACACCACCCACAATCACTCATTATCACCTTCCTACTTATAAGTATCATCCGTGCGGATGTCTCCCTCACAAGAAAATATTCCACACGCTTGGAATTCGACCCCTAAAACCTCTCACGAACTTGAACCAGCCGAGCTCGAAGACGGATCATGGGCGCTATCTCCCACCACCCCGAATTCCTACCTGAAGGAGAACGAAGAGAGCAAATCTCTGCTCCGGACATCCAACCAATCACGCCTGAGCTTGCACGATGTCAATCTCGACAACGGCGAACTTGGCCCCGAGCGCCCCACATCCAACGCAGGAGGAATCTTCCGAAGAAGTGCAGCTTGGTGGAACGACTTCAAAAAAACTCGGCACGGCAAGGTGTTTATTCTCACCTCTAAAGTCTCCGCCCTGCTACTCTTCGTCGTGCTCCTGGTCAAGGAAATCGTCCATCTGTCTTCTCCCGGGCCGCAACCGATTATCACTAAGATCACAGCGATACCGCCCTCCCCTAACCAAAAGACCTGCACCTCCAAACTATGGTCCAACGGTCACTGGGTCAGACGCAACGAGACATCCATGCCGCTGCCGCCACCCATCCGCTCACAAGCACAAGCCATGAAAGTCTCCAATTTCCCTACCCACTCTTGCGCCAGCAATCGCCTTCCTCTGACCAATACTGGGATCCCTCGGTTTGAGAATGACACTGCTGAGTATTGGGACTGGCGCTATCGAGTCAGCAGTTACGATTGGCGCTCTGGCTGCGAGGACGCTGGAATCCCCGTCAAACCACATCCTTCCCCAGAACAACTTCTCAATACTTTGGTCAATGAAGGTGGATGGCTAATGATTGGTGACTCACTGTCGGCCCAGTGGTTCATGTCGCTATCCTGCTATCTGGTAAGCCACTTTCCAATGTGTCTATCATTTGATCCATCACTCTCTGACAGATTCTTCTCTGCATTAGGCCCCATATGTCATCGCCGTCCCTCATTTCACTCCCGAGACCCCATGGAATGCAACCCAACATCTGTACCTCGACAATACCACCTCTCTGGTTCAAAACATGGAATTGCCCCTCGGATTCAACATCAACACAACACCTTTGGTGTCAATTCTACGGTATGTGGTTCAGTGTTGCAATGAAAGAAGCACATCGAACTGATCAAATGAGGCACATTTTTTATTTCTTTCAGGAGTGGCCTCTTACTGTCAAAACCAGAGATCAAAGAAGTGATCGAAAAACACAAGCTGATTGATGACGACAAGCCGATGTTTGGACCTGAGAAAGTGTTCGACATGCACACATCTGAGTACACGGCGGATTTCCTGGATCCCAAGCTACGATACTCGAAGATGATAGCCTCCTCGGGAGCCCATTACACGGCCATGCTCTTCCAAGACCGGCCATTCCACCAAATTGCTGAAATCTTCCACTACAACTTCGAACGCTGGGCCGAGATCATGAGCGAGGTTCTCAAGGATCCTCGCTCCAAGGGCAAAAAGATCCTCTATCGTACCGCTACCGCTGGCCACGATAAGTGTAATCTAGAAAGGAAGGGCCCGTGGAACGAAGAGAAAATCTTGGAAACCCCCGTGTGGAATTGGCAGGTCATCCCATTGTTCAACAAAATTGCTGACGTAAGTCATTCTTTTTTTTTAAAAAAAGGACTTGCTACTTCAAAAAACCTAACAGCCTGTTTTTTGTTTCTCTTTATTTCCAACAGTCGGTTCTCACTGCTCTCAATCAGCCCAGACTGGAGTTAATGGCGATTGAAAGACCGGCTATGATGCGCCCTGATGGCGTAAGTGATCTTTCAACCACTGCGCCGGAAACTAAAACCCAGGGACCGATCACTGACATCTCTCATCTCCTCCAGCACATTTTGATCGATTGTCTACATTTCACCGTCGGCGCCGGTATCATTGAAGGTTGGACTGACTTCTTATACAACTATGCTTGAGTGAGATACTAGCCACCCTCTGTTTCCAACATTCTATACGACCAATCGCTACTTTCTCTGCGTCATTATCTTGTAAATCATTCGATTCATCTAGACTTACAACGTCACTCATCGTTATCATTCATCTGCACTGCATCGCACAAGCTCATTCGCTCGTTTCAAGCTTGCTAGACTGTTCCAAACCTTCGGGATGTTTTCCTGTTTTTTGTTTTTCTGCTCGTTTTCAACGGCACTACATAGATATAGATATACATGTATATAGCGCAACTCCATGCAAAAATAAAATCGCAAGAAGACTGCTTCATGAGTTGGGCTTGAGCTTTTCGAGGGATTCCGTCACAACAACTTGATCAGAGGGTCTGCTCAAATCCATCGGATTGTTTTAGGCAGCGGTCCAACATCAGCCAAAATGTTTCAAATAACTGTCCAGCCCTCCTTTGCCGTTCCACACGTCATCAAGTATAAACAGCTTTCTTCAAGCGGCTCTTGTGGCAGTGATAAGGTGGTGGACAAAATACCAGAGAGGAATGCTAGTATTTGGGCACTGACTTTGGCCATCTTCCTAAGTACGGACGACCCAATTTCAAAACCGAAACTCGATGCTTTGAGAATCAAAACATCATAGACTGGCCAAAAACAAGTGGCCAATAGGTATATACTTCAAAACCCTGAAAAAAGCGATGTCAGACCTATGTACTCAAACGAGCAGCCGAACAAATTTCGACGGCCGGTTCCGCACCAGAACCCGGAGAAGCAAAGAAATCGACGATTCAACTCGAAGCTAATCGTCAAACCTGAAATTCGGTACATAGACAATTCCCGAGGGATTTGAAGCGGTTTGATTCCTATGATCAGCTCTTAGGTCTCGCGAAGAACTAGGAGTTACATCATAAAACTGGCAGAGCCGACTGGAAGGGAGCTCAAGTGGACTTAATCACTACTCAAGACGCCGGTTTCTCGAGTTTTCTGAAGCGGTCTGAAGATGTGTTTCGAGAGGGAGCTAATTAGGCGACAGTCGGGCCGGACCAAAAAAACATCGAGCAATGCGTAAATCTTATGTAGACCTGTCTTCACCTAACCATTTGTGTTCCATTAACCAGGTGCGAGATCCACGCCACGAGGGGATCCACGAGGACCTTGGAATCAGATTCGATTCCCCTGGCACTGATCAAACCTACTACACAATGCGAGAAATCTGACTCCCGGCGCTATGTCGCAAGAATCTTGGGATTTCGGGCACCATCAGTCACCATCTGACAGTGCTCGGTACTACATGGATAGTAGTGCCCTCGAGTCATCTGCTACAGACCATCCGGTCTCTGTTTTGGGACGTGGTGGGTGGATCCTACACAAGACAAGATTCTTGCAGATTACGCGAGCTTCTGCCATACGCTGCTACTGCCATCTCCCAGCCAATTCTATGTTATGTATAACATCGCCCCTGGCTGTGATCCCCTACCAACTATTCAAGTACATCGAATGGTGTTTCATTGAAGCCCGCGATGAGGAATCTAGACTTTTCTGACTCTAGGTTATCTTCCACCGGACCTTGCAGTCTGACCATGCTCAACCCGCGTCACCTTGAACTTTAATCCGCAACAAGTATTTTGATCGAATACATAAATACATTGAAGGGCAATTCAACATTCTCCATAAGTCCAAACCTGCCAATTGTCAATTGGATTTGCTACGTTGTGACCTACGTGGTTTATCCGTTCAAGTGTAAGGACAGCCCATGCAAGATCTCACCCCTTGTGAAGGTGAATACATACAACACCAGCCCACGACTTTATTTTTCTTCTGCTATTATCTTTGAAGATCGCATATCATATATTTTGGGCCCAGGAGGTTTGTTGATTTGCAACACATTTACCTCTCGTTATTATGTTGTAGGATTATTTCCATATTTACACATTATCATTGGCCCTTGGGCGTGTTTCAAACACCCCTGCCACAGTGTTATAGGAATGAGCGGATTTTCCTGAGACGACAGACAGCGTTGGATCGCCTCGCCCGTTTGCTGTGACCGACACTTGACAGTTGTACTCGACATGATCTCTCAACTTGTCCTCACAAACCCCATTTCATCGCCACCTTCCCCCTCAAATATAGCTCTTGGTCCTAATAAAAATTCCAGCAAGTACCTTGGGACCCCATCTAGCTACTCAAAGACTGTCTTCTGGAACAGGAGGCATATGATGAATTACTCGAAGAACGCGATCTTTCAAAACAGAATGACCGATAAAAGATTTCCATCTTACGCATCAGGTCCTGAGCGCCTCGACCCCGGCCATTATTTGAAATCCAAGCAAGATTCAACGAGGACGCCGTCACTGAGTTCTTCAATATCAACGGCTTCCAGTGATTCTGAGCTCCTGGAACCCCCCGGAGCGGACGCCACCAAAGCTCAACACATAGTCTTGTATCGCTCAACGAACTCAAAGGGTTGCTTTTTTCCAAAAGCATTAAGTTTTTGCGCTTCATCTCTCGTGAAATCTAACGAGACATTTGGCGAAATATCGGATTCAAGAAACGACGCGTTGCCTATGATTGTCTTGACTCCGCCTGACGATGAAGATGACTACTGCACGGTCTCCCCCTTCATCTTGGAGCTCTTTTGTCCCTACACCACAGACAGTGTTGTACATCACCAGAATCTTCGGGTACCCACCGTCCCAACGTCCAAGGGTATCGAATCAAATTCAAAGCGGAGGAAATATCCGCACCCAGCGGGGCCTTGGCTAAGGCCTCAACATACGGCCAACCTACGTACTTGCGGACGAAGCGCGGTCTCTTCATCACCTTTGACCAATAAGCGATTGACGTGGCGATGGGAAGATGGCTGTCGGACTGCCCAGGGCACTGTTGTTGGATGGGAAGCCACGGTTTCGTACTTCATCAAGCAGTACAATTCACAAAACAAGTTGAAGAAAGCCGCCACCAAACACGGCGAAAGTCCGCTTCCAAAGAAGATCATATTTCCAGCTGTCTTCATGTTCCCACCACCTCGTCTTCCTAATGAGAAAGAAATTCAACAGCGCCAGTTGCAATTCACCATCGAGCAGAGCTTGAGGCTAGGTCGTAAAGTCAATCGGAAGCGCCAGAATCGACATCCGAGTTTCCATCACAAAGCTTCACAGTCAACTGGTGATCTCAATTAGACGTCCCAACCATTCGTAAATAAAACTTCGCATTTTCCAGAGGTCACAGAGACGAGGAAGAGGCGAGGGGGGGGGGGGGATTATGTGAGGAATAGATTTGTAGAGACTCGCATCTGGTAATCAAAAAGTTGGTATCGGTTCTGAGTGGATAATTAAAGTCAAGAGCAAACATTCTCTCCCTAGATAATTGGTTTTTGAGTTACTTTGTGAATTTATCTACTAGGTTTATCTCATACACACCTGTGTCTCAATAGATTTAACTTTTAGCCCTTAGATGATGGAAATAATAATCAGTATATGATCAATCAGTTGGATAGGAGCCACCTCTATTATTCAAATTCATGATCTTCTTTCTGGTGGCAAGTCATGTAAAAGAAAGGTGATTTGGAAGTAAATTCATCAAAATAGGAATGAATTGAGTGTGCAAAAAGGAAGAGTGTAGACTATTAACCTCTAGTACCATATTGACTATGAAAATTCCACTTTTCAAAAAAGACTATCAGTATCATGTGTTGCAAGAAATTGTTGTGGAACTGCCAGCAGTTCACATGTCTTATAATTCTTTCACTCAAATATCAGTCAAAGACTATTCAACTCTGTAGCCAATGTGCACAAAAGGCTACTTTCAATGAACTAAATCAGTAATTATGGAGGATGCTTGAGCCCAAATGATAACAGATGAGGCAGAGTTTCCTTCAGTGATTGCAGTGATTTGATTCAGAAGCGGTTGTGTCTGCATAAAATCCCTCTGAAGTTATGTTTTTACTACTTTAGAAGAGCCTGGGCATCAAGATTTATAAGAAAAATTAGAACAACCAAAGGTCCTTTGGTAAAAAAGCAATCATCTCAACGATCAACACAAGATGTTTTGGATTGCTAAATTAAAATTTATGGAAATTATACATTTTTGGAAGGAGACATACAATTGTTCCCACAGGCTGTATTTGGTAAAAAAGCAATCATCTCAACGATCAACACAAGATGTTTTGGATTGCTAAATTAAAATTTATGGAAATTATACATTTTTGGAAGGAGACATACAATTGTTCCCACAGGCTGTATTTGGTAAAAAAGCAATCATCTCAACGATCAACACAAGATGTTTTGGATTGCTAAATTAAAATTTATGGAAATTATACATTTTTGGAAGGAGACATACAATTGTTCCCACAGGCTGTATTTTGAATTCTCTGTGCTTGTGTAGAAGAATGGGCAAATCTAAAGATTTAATGCTTCAATATACCAGCATTCAAATCCACATGTTCATCAACTTGCTCACACATGTGATTTGTGTTGTGTTGATTCTATTTTTTCATTATTTTCAGGGAGATCAGAAGAGGTAAAACATGGCCAAAGAAAAGCAAGAAAACAGAATATAAATATGTGCAATTTTACAGCAATAAATTCAGAAGTGGGCAGCTACAATTTGTCAAGAAAGCCTTAGTGTAGCAGTTCTTTCTTTGTGCCCAATTTGTGCAGTCTTAGCATCTTTCTACTATATTGCCATGGGGCACTACAGCGCCAAATGTGGGCATCTTTTTGAAGTAACCCTGACACTCCTAGAACTGGGGGAAATTCTCCTGCCTATTAGTCTCAATGGCTGGAGGAACTCCTCCCAGCGCCAAGAATTGTACAGTCTCAACACCATAAGCATTCCTCTGGTTATTCAGACTTGTACAATCTTGACAGCCAATAGGGGGGGGGGGGGGTCCTCCAGTCATCAAGACTTTTACAATTCTTGATGGCTGATAGGTATTCCTCCATTTTTTGAGACTTTGAAAAGTCTCCATGATGGGTATGGGCATTAAAGCACCACACACACATATCCCCCCAAGCAGGGCAGGTACCAGCCAACAGGTACCCACCTGGTTTTTTTTTGGTACCCACAAGCCATCTTGATTTCACAATCACACTATCACCATTGTACAGCCAGATTACTCTGAAAAACTCAAATGTCAATCCCAATAGTTTTATTATATTTGAATGTGAGACTGAGTCACTCAAAAATTACATATAAATGTTTTGGGGAAACGATAGATTGTACCATTGAAGAATAAAACTAGGGGATTAACATGATACTATAGTGCCACAGGTCACCCAAATTTTAATTCAAAGAATCTGTACAAGAGTACAGGCAATCTAGAAGGAGTTTCTTAAAGATCCTTCCTGGTAGAAAAAAAAGCCATAGGAAGTTTATATTGTTTTGTCATTGATTTCATAGATACTTATTAAGATAGTAGTGCAAAAGTATGCTCAATTCATTGATAAAATGTTTGAAAGCAAGAAAGAGGAATGATATTCTTAGAGAAGCCATAATTGTAAGCAAAAACTCGAATTTTGATATTTGTTTTTTGAAGAAATCATAATCTAGATGGATAAATATTTCGAATCACTTCACGGGAATATTTTTCCTGCATGATTTAATTTGAAGATTTCTCTATCCATATTTTACAATCCAGATGTATGCAGGTTTTCCATTGAAGGATTTCAGCTTTCATGAAATTTACCCTTTTGAATGAAGGATCATGTGTTTGGTTGTGATCTAAATTAGTGCTTTGTCTCCTGATAAGGACAATCTGGGATGATTTTGATTAATTTAAATGCTTCAGGAGACACAAGTTTTCTTTGAACTAGATTTTTTCTCTGATGTGGGAGATCAAGGAAGTGATTCCAGATGTTTTAAAATAGAATCAACAGTGAAAAAGTACAGACCTGGTATCAGTATTGGCCATGTATTGAATTTTGGTTGTGGGGATGTGAATAAAAAAACCAGTAAAAATAAAGGGAACCTAGAAAATACATGGGTAAATGCTTCCCCAAAAGAGGATTATCAAAGTTTTTACAACTTTGAGGGTATGTTATCATTGGTCGCAGGAATAAATTAAGAGGCATTTTTAGACAATTTAAAAAAAATCTGAAACAAACAGAGAAGCTGACCAAGGAATTGAGTGAAAATTGTTTACCATCCCATTCCATCAACACCAGAGTTATTTTTTTCAACTGTTTCCACTCATTAAGAAGTTTCTTTTCCTTTTCTTCCTTGAAGAGCTGTAATTTGGTATTGCTGAATGTGCCTGTGCTATGTTTTGAATATTTTTGGGATCTGAAGTTGAACAGATGGAGGTGAGTTGAAGAGGAACACATGAAGGGTAATTGATTGCAGCTGGGAGGTGAGCTGCAGAAGTTGGCAGGTATTCACAGGTTTGGCTTCCACCAGTGATGTTTCCAGGGTGGGTTTCCAAGAGTGTTGAACTGCAAAAAAGTAACTCAGGCCTCCAAAGTTTGCCCAATTTCAGCTCCATTATAGATTCTCTTTGCAATTGATATCCAAAACTTGAACAAGGGGCTTTATGAACATGACATTTGAAAAGGGGTGTCAACAACTTTGGCATCCAATTTTACCAATGGAGATGGAAGTAATAATTTGGGATAAAAACACAGCACCTAGAAAAAAAAGTGGGGTAATCTTGGGATAAAGAGATTGATTATGAATGGCCTGTGAAATCATATGGCCAAAGAAAATAGAAATTGCAAGCTATCTAAATTTTGAAAGCTTGCTTGATTTGGAGGGTTACAATCTCCAGGATTTTGTTTATCTTGGAGTGTCAATACCTGTCTCTTATGTGACTAGTGTTGATGGAGGAGGAGGTAACACTATGGCTTTTTACACAACATAGTGGATAAGGGTCTCAATATTGTTGTGTAAACAATGTAGTGGAAGTAACCTCTTCAATATATGTTGGTATTTCAAAGGGATGCTCCTTATAATTATAGGGGACAACATTAGTGTTAAAACCTCACTGCACCAGGCTTAAGAGAAAGGAAAAGGCTGGTTACCAGTCTGTAGAGCTACTAAGATTAACTTCATAGACTAGTACAACAAAAATAGATGAAATAGGTTGTAATGTAGTATTAGTAATAGATTATAAAACCCCACTCACTTATTGTACTAATGCAAATATGTAAGGTTAGCCGGTTTGTATGATAATCTCTGGGGGAAGAATCTTAGGGAAAGAATCACCTACTTGAGTGTTACAGAATAGGGGTCAGACTCATTGTGGGACCAGTGTAGTCCCCATATTATTACATTATCTCTTTGGGATAAATTTCAAGATATTCAAAGAATGATAAATGTACCTGTGAGGAAAATCTCTCTTATTTCAGAAAATACACAAGAGAGATAAACAGGAAAATAAGTATTCACAAGAGAGATACACAGGATAATAATCACTTGGATAATCCCAAGAGATAATTATCCTTGTCAACCTGAGTATAATTTTCATGAAAGAGGTAAATCTTCATTAATTTAAAGAATATTAATAAATAATTATTAACTTAAAGAATACATGTAATAATATTTATTATTATGTAACCCAAGGGGGTCACATTCTGAATCTCTTGTAGATACCTTGGCTAGTGCCTCAGTGTCTGACATGAAGGAAAGTGTCAACAGTAAGTGACTGGCTAAGGGAAGGTTTGTGAGGTTGAGTTTCAAACCAAGTTCAGATTCTGTATACTATTGATGGGAGTGAAAATTCTGGAGATAATCTTGAAAGATTTCTGGTGGGATGAACAGTGTTTCAACTTGAACATTTGGCCATGAGGGAACAAGTGGTTCACTATGTTTGATGAAGTTTACAGCTCAAGGCAAAAAATTTGAAAGTGTAATTACAATCTCTATACAAAAGCCAGCATAAATGTATAGATCATTTATGAAGCAATCCTTCATATCCATGAGTGGCAGGGAAATATTGTGCAGAGTTGATGAAAAGTTGCTTGAAGGATAACAGACTGGTGGTTTGTTGACTCTAACATTATTTACCCATCTCCCTCCTTGGTACTATCTTATCTTGAAGGTCACCCTTCAGACACTGCCACACAGGAAGCCAATCCCCCTTCCAAGGAAAAAAAAAGGGTAGAAATCTGGAAAGACATTGAATGCTCTGTAGCTCTGGAATACAGGCCTTAATAATCTGTCTCAAGGCAAAGAATTGTATACTTTCATGAATTTCATGAATCAGATTTTTTTGTCTGGGGAGTATCTCCTCTGAAGCTACATCCAGAAAACCCATTTTTTGAGAACTCTGTGCATGTGCATGCTCAATCAAGTAGCTGACGGATTTGTCAAATGAGGCACAAAAAAGCATGAACGGAGAAAAGGTTTGATTCACTTTGAGATTGATGATGCTTCACAATTGGTCTATATATGATTTGTACAATTTTTGACAATCTTCCTTCATGGGGAGGACGTCGTTCGCGACTATCTCGACGTGGTACACTAGCGCCAGCCCATTTAGGACCTCCTCGTTCCCGGTAGCGGTCGTTTCCTGCTGTGTGATTGCCGCCGTTTCTTCGTTCGGGATAGGTGTCGGAATTGTGAACCCATCAACCATCATCGGGTGGATGTGATGCTTCATACGTTCCGGAGCCACCGCGTCGTTCCGGCGCCTGACCACCCCCGCGAGGAGCTGCGTTCGATCTGCCCCAAGTTGATTCGGCTGCTACTTAGAAGCTTCAGTCATCGGGAGGGTTTGACCAAGCTATCATTCTCAGATTTGCCAAGTTCAAGACTTTATCAGCACCAAATCGGGCGAGGTACTAAAGACACCCACGAAATGATTGAAGCATTCATCTCTCACCAAACAGATTTTATATCACCATTTACTGTACTCATACATGCCTTGATGAACATTGACGATGGTTATATTTGCCACTGTGTGGCTTGAAGACCGGTCATCCTGACTTGTGCCATCGAAAACGTCCAGCAGGGCTCTAAGCAGCAGTAAATATCTGACATCTATTGCTCCAAACGAGAAATTCTTTGTATTTGTTATGAGATATGTATATGGGCCGGTTTGTTGAGGAGAGCAGTCTCCTAAGGAAACCCCTCCACGAAACACAGCCAAGACAATAAATTTTCGCTCTTTACAACAGATACTTGGTTTACAACACATCGTATTACAACAGATATGTAACATGTGGTGAGAATGGATAAAAAAGCTTTCGGGAACAAACGATAAATATGAAGAAAAACGATGAAACCCCCGACCCTCCCCGCTGCTGACCGAGGGATAGGATCGGGGCCCCCTGGCGATCAGACCAATCAAGAAAAATGTGTTCGCAATGAAGGAACTTTTTTTATTCTTCACCCATTCACGGCAATCGACACTGTGGAGCCCGGTTCGTGTGATTGTTTCCAACCCCACTCCCCAGTCATTAGTGCGATATCCCGATCGGATGATTAGGTAGGGCTGTCCGAGAGCGGAGCCAGATTCCAATAGATATTTACAACAATCACAATGATGATCTTGAAAAAGAGAAGCCGTTGTCGACATATCGGCGTATCGAACAAAAAACCAGTCGCGTTGACTGTCGATTCGGTCGGCATTTCAAAGCACGACGTAGGCATTGATATTTGCCAAGCACATGCGATGCATCCTTCGTCGTGTTATACACGTCGTATAATCGCTACTGTTTCCGCTCATCGGAATGGTTGGAGAGTATCGGAGACGACCAAGTATCGTATAATCTTGTTCAAGACTCTTCGGGCTGATTGTCCATGAAATATGTGGAGGTCGCGAGTGCCAATGAAACGAGTCCTCACTCACACCTTCAAGAAACGCCGGCGCCAGGCCATCTTCTTGTGATACCTCTAAGAGGTGATCCTATAAGTCGACTCCTGACCAACACCTTCAAGAAACGCCTGCGCCTGGCCATCTTCTTGTGCAAGGTCTACGAGGTGATCCCATAAGTCGACTCCTGATCGAACGCCCTCAAGAAACGCCTGCGCCTGGCCATCTTCTTGGAACTGCAAGTAAATCCGCCCTTGATGTGACCGCTTGTCGGGGTCAATTGGGGGGTTGTGCTTCGTGAATACCGAGCAGCTGTTTTGGAAGCTATCGGGTTCAGCGGGATATCTTCCCAATCGACTGGTGAATCAATAACTCTTGATGTAATGATCGAATGTACTGGATGCTTGCTGTAGAAAGCTCAAGTGCCGATAGGAAAGGAAACCTTGCCTCAGGCTGAACCATGGTTGGCAAGTTAGGTCCTATCGACAGGATACCCTGAAAGGAGGAGGTGATGATGGTATGTGAACCGGGGAAAAGCAAAGGGAAATGCCAAGATAGACCTGAGTGACTTTCAGACAAATTAAGCGGTCAGAAATTAGAAGCACATAAGTCGATCCTGTGATCCTTCTGATGTGGGACAGGAAAATTACAAACCTTTAAGATCGGCTCGAGGATTCTTTCTGTATATAGTGGATGCGGCCAGAGATGACCAAAGAGATACAACTATGTCTGCTTGTCTTGAGTGACTGATCGAATAGGCTTGCATGTCTGGCATGATGAAGAGAGTTCTTGAGTAATCACGCGTAACTTCGATGCTCAAAAGAGTTGAATCACCATTAGCACGTCCGAGTAAGATGTGAAGTTGATTTCATTCTGATAATAGAAGAACGTCATGTTATAGCTCACATATGTCATCGGAGTTATTTGTGGGCACTTCAGGTGCGATTGCTGTGTAGTGTCAAGATAGCCTTCAGATTCATGATCGTGCCAAATGCCAGGACAAATATTGGCAGTCGGTGGCAGTCATAGTCCGCTGGTTCGGCCTTGCTTGAATCACATGATGCCGAAGTCAAAAGCCGAACGTTCTTGAACACTTTGCTGGATAGGCCCAAGTGAGAACCCTGCATCTTCAGCAGGATGTTGACCTGTGATGAAATGCTATCAAACGCGAGCAAGCCTTTAGTTCTTGCCACCGATGGAAGAAAAGAGAATCATGACTTACACGTGTTATCCGACGCGTCCAATGGATGATAATAGAAAAAAATTGAGGGAGTCTTGAAAGTAAACAGGACATAATCTGCTGGTCCACGCTTGGGATGGAAAGACCAATGAATCGCAATATCATGAAGGGGGGAGATGTCGATTGGAACAATCCAGCACGAGCGGGATATTTGCCCAACCATCCATGAATCACCATCTAACACGAACCAAACAAACTCTTCATAGCTTGATGAGAGAGTCCTTGGATAGAGAACACAATCGATCTGATTGATGTTGATGGATTGAGAGGGGGAGAATGAACCGCGGATGAGTCGAAGAATCGCGGTGCCTTAAAAGCAAGCCATCACTTGAACCGACCACATGGACACGATATGCCATGGTCAATCTTGCTTGACTAGCTCTTCATCATGGGGCATGACATAGCCTCATTCAATGAAATCATGGCTGAGTCAGGAGATATGCTTGATGGGGTCCAGGAGGGGGGTGGGGGGGATGATGATGGTAAGATAGCGGTCCATCTCCACTGCCAAAAGAAAACCGCTGGAATCATGAATCTCGTTCACCGAAGCCCAATCAAGTCCTTCCCACATAGTGGATAAGTGAAGTCTTGTTGACTAGGGAAAGCGACGTTGAGGAATGGTGGAAGGAGTGTCTTGAAGAAGACGAGCGGAAGACGACAGAGAGGGAAGAGTGAATGGGATCCTGTGGGTTCTCAGCTAGCATTTATATATGAGGCCAACTCGACTGTTTATGCCCAATGTTCAGGATCAGATTCAAGGAATGGGAAAGGGGAGAGGAGTCTGGGGGGCAGAATCCAGCAGAAGGACGGTCTAGGAAGCTGGATGACATGTAATGGATAAGTGAAGTCGAATAGGGAAAGCGACATAGAGTTATGATGGAAGGGGCCTTCTGAAGAAAACGAGCGGAAGACAATATCAAGCTACCAAAGAGGGAAGGGTGAATGGAATCCTGTGGGCTCTCAGCTAGCATTTATATATGAGGCCAACTCGACTGTTTATGCCCAATGTTCAGGATCAGATTCAGGGAATGGGAAAGGGGAGGGGAGTCTGGAGGGTGGAAGCCAGCAGAAAGACCGTCTAGGAAGTTGGGATGGAGGGAACAGGTGGGAGGATTTTTCGGGATGGAGGGAACTGGAGCTGATGGGGGGAAAGGTTCGAAAACGCTGGCAGAAGTCCTCTTCTTATACCCTCAATCAAGTGCGGAAACAATCTCATGTCATCAAAAGCAACACTCAGTCGACCAAGCCTGAACTGGCCTAGCGCACCATTTTCCTTAACTAGGCTAAAAATAAGGTGAGTTTATTTGTTTGTTGCCTCCTACATATTGGAGCCTACTCAATGTTAAACCTTCAGCTGAGCCAGAGGGTTCGCTCTTTTTTCAGTCTCCTTTGTGGTTCGCTCTTTTTTTCAGGCTCCCCTGTACTACTTCAGGCCCCAAAAAGTTATTGAGGCTCACGAAAATAGATGAACGCTACCGTGCCACAGAACCTACTAACGTAAGTGCCATGAGTTGTTAATTGATCATTGGACTATCAAAATCCATCAAAGCCCGACTCGTTGGGGAATTTCTTTGTCACCGGGTACAATTAAGCAATCAGCTTGTTCTAACCAACATTCGAGGAGACAGTGCACTACCATCAAATCCCCAATCCCAGGCAACTTTTGTTCTCGTGGTGGAAGATTGTTTATTGTGTGATAGCCAATTTCCTACTATGTTGGCATCAGTCTGGCAGGCATCGACCGATCAGTAGGCACTCTTGTCCGCGAACAAGGCTAGCAGTATCTACTATCTACCGTCCAGACTTTTGAGTACGCAAGAATTAATTGGCCAGCGGTAGCCTTTGGTTCCGATCGTTTCTCAACATTGTAAGAGCGCATTAAACATACCTTCAATTTCCTGGCGAAGTAAACATCTTCTAATTAGTTTTGAACCAATATATCTCCCTTTAGCCGCTTGTTTTTAAAGATCATTTAACTCCATTCATACTCATGGGGCTCATGGTGCGGTGAAATCAGGCATTTGGCCAACACGAGAGGAATGTGAGTAGGTTAGGATTGAACTACAGCTGAGTGTGATGCAACTGTGACTGCATTTGCTCATCTTTGTTTCTTTTCTTTTGCCGGTATGCTGAGCTGACGCATGTTAAGGCACCCAAACAAGGCGCAAGATTGATGCTTGATATGTCCGCTGCAGGCAATAAGTAGTAATGTTTGAAGACATGGGATCCAGTTGGAGAAGTAATATCTTTTTTACAATCACTTCAAAGAAGGAATTGGAAAGTCGGACTGAACTACTGGAGACGTTACCAATCAAATCAAGCTGGGTTACAACCCAACAAAACTCAGCCTCTTGTAAGATAGAGCCTGTCTCCGATCAACCTGTAAAATCCAATGGATTTTCACAGAGCTGATTATTGGATGGGGAAAATTTTCCAAAGCTGTCATGTTTAGGAATACAAATAATTGTTCAATAAAAAGACAAATCTGGTTCTCCAAATAACCATATATAAACAGTTGGAATGTCAAATATAGAATAATTTAGTGTTGCTTATGTCGAAATTTTGATGTGAAAGTATACTCAAGTTGTTGATCTAATCCTTGGAAGCAAGAAAAGGGCATGAAACTCTTAGAGAAGCAATGATTGTAGACAAAGCATCCAAATTTTGATAAAACTTGTTTCGATCAACTTCAGATATGTGAAATCATTCTATATTAGACATGTTTCAAATTTGGTCACTTCACAATATCATTTTGTCTACATGACACAATTTTAAAATTTCTCTATTAATAGCTTACAAGCCAGCTATAATCAATTTTTTTTCATTCAAGTATTTCACTTGGCATGGATTTTGCCATTTGGAATATAGGATCATGTATTTGGGTTGTGATCTTAATTGAATCTTTGTCTCCTAATTATTTAAGCAATCTGGGATGATTTTGATTAACTTAAATGCTTCAGGAAACAAAATATTTCTTTGAATTAGAAATTCACTTCTCTGATGGGTAGATTCAGATGTTTCAACAACAAGTTTGATGATGATTGCAGTGTCTTTCTTTTCTTTGGGTGGGGGGGGGGGAGTGAAACCCATTAGCATTTCTTGCATTTTCTGTAATTTTGCCTGCTTTTATCACCCAAACCCAAAATGACAATCATTTTCTTTAATTAAGAAAAACATCAAAACAATTTCTGAATATCTGTTTGTTTATTTTTGGTATTTCATTGTTTTCTGTTTGATTTCTTGTGTAATGAGAGTATTGGGTGAGAAGTCCAGACTATAAATCTTCCTCAAAGATTTGTTGAAGAAATTCTGGCATTAATATGTGATGATGGAAAAGATGAATGACAAGATACAAATTTGAAGACTTTATGCTTCAAATTCAATCTGCCAGAATCTCTGATGCAAACCCACATTTTCATCAGCTTCCTCACACATGTAATTTCTTCTATGTTCTGTGTTTCAAGTTTTTTTTTTTTAATTTTTGGTTATTTTCAGGGCTATCAGAAGAGGGAAAAAAAGCTCAAGGAAACCCAATAAAACAGCATAGAAATACCTGCAATTTTACAGAAATACATTCAGCATTGTGACACTACACTTTTTGAATAAAGCATTAGTGTAGCAGCGATTCTTTTGAGCCCAATTGGTGTAGTCTTGGAATCTTTCTACTATGCCATGGGGCACTACAGCACCAAAAGTGGACATCTTTTTGAAGCATGTGTGCATAGCATGACTCTGAGCACAGATCTGGCAGAATTATGTGGTGCTGCACTATGTGTGAATGAAATTCTGCTATACTAAACCTAATGCTATTTTCAGCACAACAGAATCAGTGTTGATAGATTTCACAAGACAGACAGGAATTGAACCCATTGTACAGCCAGTTTGCTCTGGTACACTTAAAATTCAATCCAATTAGTTTTTTGTTGTTGTGAATGTGAGACTGAGCAACTCAAAAATGGCATATAGGTGTTTCTGGGCAAACACAGATTTTCTGTATACCGTGGTGGAAAAACATTTTGAACATGTTACTGTTCTGTTGATATATATTGGTGATAGGAGACTCAGATTCCAGACAAAAAAATTCAATGGATCTGCTAAAGTTAACATTGTGGAGAAAGCTCCACAAAAACAATCTGAAAGTAATACACCTTTCATACATCCTTTGAGAAATAGCCAAAGGTGAGACACATTGTCAATGTCAACAGGTTTGCTTGAGATGGTGTGAAACATGCACATATTTTGCAAAGCTCCTCCTCACATAGAGCCAAGGAGCTTAGTGTTTAAAATCAGGGATGTGAAGAAGAACTGGGACAAGTTGAAAGTCCGGCCATATTATAGATTAGGAGCAGTGTTATGCTGTCATTTTTGGATTGCTGACACATACATAAATTTTTACGGTCTTTTGGTTAGGCCAAATGGGCACTACTTCATCTTTTTGTGGGGAATTAAATGAGCTGCTTTGTTTAGAAGATT